TAGTCTCTGATCTACATTGAAAGGTTTTAAGAATGTTTTATGTAAAAAAAAAATAAAACAATGAAAATTATTATTTTTAACAGCTCGAGGGAAGCTTGTAAATCCCTTTACTGTTTTGTACAGTGTGTATTTTTATATTTGTAAATTCATTTTTTGCTAGCCTTTTTCATAAGACAATAAAATATGTCTCAATTGACAGTATTACTTTATTTAAGATATGTGTGTGTGTTTTATTTGGTTGTAATACATACTGGCCCAGATTTACATATAAATAAGAGCACATCATGTTACATATACTGTATATAGACTATATTGCCATATTGTCAAAGGTATTGGGGCACCCCTCCAAATCATTGGATTCAGGTGTTCCAACCACCTCCATGGCCACAGGTGTATAAAATCAAGCACCTAGGCATGCAGACACTTCTACAAACATTTGTGAAAGAATGGGTCGCTCTCAGGAGCTCAGTAAATTCAAGCGTGGTCCCGTGATAGGAGGGGAAAGCATGTTGGCAGTTTATTGGTCAAGCTGAATAAGGCAGATCTTCTGGAAGGACCCAAATAGGATGTGTATTTTGATGATCAGATCATCAGTGCTTATGGTGTAACAGGAAGTGTAACAGGAAATATGGTTGTCACCCATCCGGGATTCACCTGGACAGTCCGTGTTTGAAATCCTTTGCCCGGGTGCAAGCCCACCTCACACCCAGGCACATGATTCAAACCGGACAAAGCTGCAGACTAGCTCACCTGGCTGAGGGCGGCGGGCCACACTGTCTTCACTCCCTCCCTCTCTCTGTTTTTCTCCTCTGTTAGTGAGAGGAAGTGACATCGGAGAGAGAGGGAGCAGAGAGGGAGAAATCATCCTCCAGGAGCCTGCACGTGGAGCCGATTCATCTCGTCTGGGAGTCTGGGTCTGACTGTGACCATACTTCTTTTCACCTGGAACTCTCTACAGTACTTATAAACAGGTATTTATAACATTTAATCAAAATAAATATCAATTTAAAAGGGTGGGGGTTAGTATTGCACATAAAACATGCCCCCATAAAAAAATGCCACAGGTAAACTGTGACATCTTTTGTGGGGGCATCTTTTATGTGCAATAGTACATATCGTCCAATGCAAAATATTAATGCAGTAATGTGCTGAACTGAAAAAACAATCAAATATAAACAGTGAAAAATACAACAATGATTATAGGCTGAACTCAAACCACATAACATACAAAGCGAAATAAAGTCCAAAACGAATCAAACGATGCGGTGCAGATAACGGATCAAACAATGCGATACAATGTGTACAAACAACATAAACAGTCCTCCGAAGCATACTTTATAGTGTACAGGACAACAGACTGTTTGATAATCCTTC